GCCATGGGCCCTTCCTGAGGACTGAGTGTGTCTGCAGCCCAGGACCTAGGACTCCATAGGCTGTGCCTGTCCCCTGGGGTCAGCATGCTCCCCTCTCCCCGGGCAGGAAGGTGGGCCGTCTTCAGGGGATGAGGTCTGGGTCTCAAGGGGAGATCACCTCATCTCAGAGATGGTCCCAGAACTAAGCATTTAATAGATTAGCATGAAGCAGGCTTCCTTTCCCCTAGACCCCTGGACCCCTGGACTTTTCCAGCTCCACCTGTGGACTCAGGCAGTCAGGCCCCACGTGAGACCCTCGCTGTCTTTTGTTTCCTCTTGGAGAGGGAGACACTTTATTCTGAGAGTTTGCCTCTGGCCACCAGTGGTGTGGGATCAGGGTTTAAGCCGAGGAAATAGCAGCAGAGGGGACCTCGCAGGGTCCAGCCCACCCCTCCTGTGAAGGGACCTGAGGTGTGCAGCCTGAGCGCCCTCCGTGCCTCTTGCAGGAGATCCGGGAACCAGGTGGTGAAGGTCTTCTTGTGAGGCAGCATCCTTGGGTCGCACAACAGAGGCCGCTCAGGAGGTACCAGGAGCCAAGGTGAGGTGCGTGATCTGAACGTGTTCCGAGGGCCCTGTCCCAGAGCAAGGACACCTCGTAGTCTGTAGGCTCCACATGCCGTACTGTCTGCCCTAGAGCCTGTCCTCTGTGGTTCAACTGCAGCAGGAGCAGCACCCTCACTTCCTGTCCCAGGTTCTGGGGACAAAGCCAGGGGAGGACAGGAGCCTGTGAGGCCTTAGACCACCACTCAAAGCAAAACCTGTAATCGGCCTTTGTGGGAACCGATTGCTCTCGGCTGAGGACACTCAGTCTCTCCCTCTCTCTTCTAGGCATCTGAGTCCTCATCGCCAAGCTCTCACTGTCCCCAGGGAACATCAGAACATTCTCCTGCTGGGAGGAGTCACCACAGCAGGCTAGGGGAAGCTGTCTGGTCCAGAGAGGGACACAAAGCCTAGTGGGTGTGCAGGTTCTCACGCCCGAGGGCTAGGAAGTAGCACACACTGCTTAGTCTAATCCTCTTTTGGCTGTGCTTTAATCCAAAGGCACACCAGAAGAAGTGCCTGGGGCTGAGACTCCAAATTGTGCTCAGAATCCTGAGGGCGTCTTCTCTCCTCCCCTGCCATGGCATCTGGGCAATCGAGCCAATCCAGTCAGGGCTCCAGCAGGGCACAGGAGGAGCATCCATCCACCTCTCAGGAACAGGATGGTCCTCAGTCCCTGCCCCTTGTGGTGCTGTATGAGAAGATAGATGAATTGGTGGATTTCCTGGTCCACAAGTACAGGAAAAAGGAGCTTACTACCAAAGCAGAAATCCTGCACTGTGTCATGAAGGATTACCAGGAGTACTTCTTTCTTATCTTCAGGAAAGTCTCTGATTGCTTGTACATGGTGTTTGGCATTGATGTGAAGGAAGTGGATCCCCCTGGGCACATATATGTTCTTGTCCCTGTCCTGGGTCTCACTTATAATGAGAGAGTAGCTGATGACTTCATCCTTGCCAAAACTGGCCTCTTGATAGTGATTATTACTACCATCCTCAAGAAAGGCAACTGTGCCAGTGAGAAGGTTGTCTGGCTTGCACTTAATAGAATGCAGGTGTATGATGGGAGGGAGCACTTCATCTATGGGGATCCTAGGAAATTCATCACCAAGGACTTGGTAGAGGAAGGGTATCTGGTGTATCGCCAGGTTCCCAACAGTGATCCTGCTCGCTATGAGTTCCTGTGGGGTCCAAGGACCCACGCTGAAACCACCAAGATGAAAGTCCTGGAGCATTTGGCCAAGGTCAATAAGAGAGATCCCTGGAGCTACCCACTTATATATGAAGAGGCTTTCAGAGAGCAGCAAGAGTTGGCCCAAGCAAGACGTGTAGTCAGGGCCCCTGAGGGAGCAAGGTGCCGATCAGGGACACGGCATGTTCGGAAGCCACGTCACTAGCTTAGCTCCTGCCCATGTGAAATGATACCAATCCTTCAGTCTGTGTTTGAGGAGAGCAGCAAGCATGCTCAGTAGTGAAGAGCAGGGTAGGAGGGGGAAATACTGGGCTTTCCTTGTTGACATTTGTTCTCTTTGGGTTACTTGGAAATTGACATTTGTTTTCTTTATGAAGACTAAAGAGGCTTGCACATCTCATTTGAAGTATGGTATTGATCTCACATCTATTTTTGTTATTGTTACATTGTTTATTGGCTGTTGTTTTGGTGAAATTGTGATTTTCTGTGGCATTGAGTAAACACGGATTTTTCTTTTCTTTCCAAGTATAAGTCTTTGCTGTTTTGTAAAACCAAGTAGGAAATCTTTCCCTTTTGAGGGGATATGAAACAGGATACCATGGCACTGGAGTAGGAATTTCCTTTTGAATGTGTAAGAACTTTAAGATAAATGGAGTCAAGAAATAAAGACATAAATATAAAAGTCAGTTCTTGAACTCTTATCCATTTTTTCCTGTTAATGTATGAAATTAAAAAATATACATATACCTGAATTGTCCTGGTTTCTTCAATTATATTGGAGACATTTTCTGTCACTAAAGAAGCTGGTCTGCACACGGGCACATTGACCCCAAACCTTCATCACACGTGTGCCCTTTGGGAGGCTCTGTGTCTGTGTGGAGACATGAGGAAACCAGACTGAGCAGGATCCAAGCTACCCCACAGGATGGTGGAGTCCAGGAGAACCAGCAGTGTCAGGAGATAGAGAGATGTCTGCCAGGAAGTAAAGGTAACACAGCACTGAAAGGGTGGAGAGAAGGGGTGCTCTGGCAGAGCACAGCCATGGGTGAGTGCTGAGCCAGGGCAGTTTGGGGCTTAGGGTAACTGCAGTTGCTTCTGCAGGAGCTGATTTTAATGCACCTGCATGGTGCCCAGGGCCAGACCCTCAGATGAGGTGTCTTGGGCCTGAGGTAAAAGCCTGAGAGGATGGAAGACTGCTCTGAGCAGAGCTTTTAGATGGTGGGTGTAGCTGAGGAATCCTCACCTGGGACAGCTATGAGAAGAGTGGTCTTACGCAAGGAACCAGAGAATTTATGCCCCAGCTTCTGCCAGGATTTCCTGAGAGGTAAGGGGGACTTTCAGGTGAAGTTAGGCACTAATGTCCCTGCCAGGTGCTCTGCTGTCTGCTGGGAGTGTCCACTTCCAGGATCTTGCATGCCCAGGTGACTGTCTTCCCTAGGGACAACTTCTCCTCGTGAGTCCACTTAGCCTGAACACTCTTCCAACATGGTGAAAGAACCTGGCCATTGGCTTTGGCCACTTGCACCAGTGGTCAGATGTCTGCCTGACCAAGACACGCTCCCTTCAGAGAGCCTTCTTCGAGCTTGCAAGAGTCCTCCCCTTGCCTTATAACTCGACTTACTTTGGGTCAGTTTGCAGGTATTATCTTGGTGGGGGGATTTTATGCTAGTGTTGTCAGAGTGTGGAATTTTGCTTCAAGTTTCATGGAATTGTGTCTGTGCTGAGCTGGCCTTGGCACTAAAATGGCCTGGGTTTTAGATCCCATTGTCACAGAGGCCTCATGAGCCCCAAAGCTAGACTTTCAGTGAAGGGGATGTGATTGAAAATAGTTGTTCCCATGAAAGAGAATCTAGCAGGGAAGAGATATGGTTCTTCTCCCAAATTGAAGGAGCCCTGAATTAGTTGGTTCCAACAAGGAGATTATTCCCAACATTTAATCAAGTAATACATCCTACTGGAGAGAATATATTGAAGGAATCTTTATTGATTAGCATTTTTCTCTAATTTTCTTTTCAGTTTCCTGTTAACCTGCAGCTTCCTTGAAAAACACAAACCAAAATTTTACAGGAAAAGTATAATAATATCCAGGGTTAAGTTAATACAAAAACCAGGGACTTATCACAAAATATTTAATTTATGCCAGGTATTGTGCTAGGTATTTTATTATATTTTTTTCATTCCACTAGTGCTACAACCATCAAACCCATTTTAAAGCTGAAGAACCTGAGGCCTACTGGGCTTGGGAGCTTCTCAGGATCCCTGTGTGGTAAATGACAAGGCCAGGACTGGACTCTCAGTGTGAGGTCATCTAGAGGCCACCCTGTTCCCACTCCTCCCAGCCTCAACCCGGCTCTGTTTCCGAATTCAATTCTGTACTCAGAGAAATGAAAATACCTCTCAGGGTGCAGAAAGTCCCCGTGTCCAAGGCACTTACCTGGCCTGAATCAAGAATGTAAGATGAGCGGGCCATGGGTGCCCCCTACTCCCTGGGAACTGCCCAGAGTCACCTGCCCTCACCCACGGCATGTAGAAGGCCCTGGCTGTCACTTTGCTCACCATGGAAACCCTCCAATAGCAACAGACCTTTTCACATAAAAGTTATCCTTGGATTATGAGGCTTAGTCCCTGCTTTATGTGCCTGAGAAGCAAAATAACACACTCTGAAGCTTTCCCAGATTGCTGATAAGGAGTTTCATGTGCAGCATAATTTACTCCTTATCTTGACAGGTAAATTAGGACAGTTTTAAAGACCATCTCAATATTTTTTTATACAATTTTAATGAAAAGAGTTACTAGAAAAAGTCCACATCACACATGTGCAGGTGCATGAGCTTATGTGGGTGGTCAAACCCAAAGCTCCTTGAGAAGCTGTAGGTGAGGCAGGACCATGCTCACCACAGTGGAGGAAAGAAAAACATCTGCTGTGGCTGAGTTCCTCTAACCCTGAAGTCCTCTGAGGAGGTGGCAAGTGCTTCTTTGTAGATCTCAATCTAAGTATAAAAATGGTGTCCATGATCTCTCCATGATCTGTGTCCCTCCCCACAGGGAAGCCATGATCTTCAATATGCAGAATGGCACTGGTCCTGATGTTCGGACCAGGACAGTCATGTGTGCTGTAGCAACAGCTCACAGTTAGCAGACTGGCCATGAGTCCGAAGACAGGAGGAAATTCTCAGCCTGCTAAGATCGGAGGTTACAGTGAAGAGCAGTACACACAAGAGCTAGTGAGTGAAGAACCCCTCCTGCTAATATTTTTACAATACTATGCAAACTAGATTGATTCTCTATCTAAAGCAACTGTCTCATAGTAGGTAGCACTTGAAAGGCTGCAGAATTTCCAGGCCTATCTCACATGCTCAAAAACTCCTCCCACAATGGAAGAGAATTTATGTTAACAAATAACATTTGTTGCATTCATTTGAGCATCTACTGTGTCACCACTTACAGTGACATTACAAGTCCTCGCTAGCACACAGCTTGTCTTCCCCGCTGTTCTAGCCATGTGAGCATTATAGACCACTTGTCCTTAGGAAAGGTCATTAGATGATCCTGTGCCACTGAAGCAGACCCATTAGCCATTAGAGCCATTTCTACAGGAGGTGCTGCAGGACAACTGGATTAATCATCACGCCCTGGCCAAACAGCACCTGGCCCTCTCTGTTTCCTCATCTAGGAGGCTCAGCCACAGGTGTTTGCTCCCTTTGACAGACCAAGCTGATTCTGTACCTTGAAGACCCTGGGCAGGAGCCACCCCCCAGATGCTGACTGCAGAGTTTGCTTCATGCCACCCTCACCCTTCAGGCTCCTGGGCACACCTGTCAATCCCAGGACACCTGTGATGCCCTCCCCAGTGTGAGGGCAGGTGGTGGCCAAAATCACCCAAATCCCTGTGCTGCCTGGGGGTTCCCTCCTCCTGCTGCTGTGCCCCATTGGCCACCCTCTCTTGCACCTGGCCTCAGCCTGCCCAGTTTGGAGCATTCTGCTCTCTGTGTCCCTACTCGCACCTGCTCAGCCCAAGACAGGACTCAGAGCTGACAGCAACATGCAGTTATCTCCACCTGAAGATCCCTGATAAGAAGTATGTTAGGAACTTCTTTCTGTAAGCTTCCAGAGGAGCTGAGGTGCGCACCCAACAGAAACATACAATGAACGAGTTTTCTGTTCCACGTGAGACCTGTTAAACCGGACCCAGGTGTAAAAGCTTAGCTGAAAGCAGGTACTCCACAGCCAGTCAGTGCATATATTAGCCTTGATTTGAATAGACTCTTCTAAGAAGATCAAACTGCTAATTTCATAGTAGAAAAGTTCGATCCTTTCAGGACTGCTCCTCAAGGACTCTGGTTGAGCTTTCGCTAAAGCAGTTCTCATGAGAAAAGGTAGGGTACACATACTGTGCCCTCTATTGCCATTGTGTTAAACCACAAGAGGAGTTTACTGCCTTTCCAGGGTGCCCTAGATCTCAGCCAGCACCTCTACACTTCTTGGTAGTGGCACAGGCCACTTAGGTTCATATGCTTAGGTTCATTTGTTTTCAGATGATCAAAGTGAAGGGGGCCATAAATTTTAGCAAAAAGAAAACAAATATTTATTCAAAGCTAGCTCTGAGGAGGTGGAAAGGCCCTTTGCCTCAAATCGCCATCTCACCTTGTAGAAGTGGGTAAGGGTGCCTGGGATCCCATGCTGGAGAACTCAGCCAGAGCGTGCACTCCTTCCACCAGGGCTCCTCCACACATGAGGCCGCTGTGCAGCCCTGAGGCTGTGGGTGAGAGGCTGGCAGACGTCACCCAGCCGGCTCCTTCTGTCTCCATTCTTCACTGCCTCTTGGTCACAGGTGCTCCTGTGACATGAAAATGCAGTACAAATGTTTTCACATTTAGTCTTTTCCCATAGGTTCATTAATGTACATCTTCCCCCAATGTGCTTGTCTCAATAATCAAGTATTTTTCATTCTAGATGCCTAAGTAACTGGACAATACATTTTCCACTGTCCTGGTTTTATATGTAGTTCTGATCTCGAGTCCCTTTCTTATTACACATAAAAAAAAATCACTTTTGCATTGTGCCTATGTCATCCTCCTGAGAGAATTTCTGCCCACAAAAACTTTCTTATCCTCACTTGACTGAGGCGGTGTCATAACAAGAGTCTGTCTTCACCTGCACCCTGACTCCTGCCAACTCATCTGCTAAGGTTTGCATAAGTGTCTCCCAAGAGCTCATGGGTTCAAGGCCTGGTGTACTAGCTGCGGGGTCACTGAGAGGCGAGGAAACTTCAGAGATGGGTCATTCTGTGATGTCTGAGGTCCTTGGAGGAGCGCCCTTGAAGGGGATTGTGGGATCCTGGTCTCCTCCTCCCTCTCCCTGCTTCCCAGCTGCCATGAGGTGAAGAGCTTCATCCAGATCGTGCCCCGCCCTGCTTTACTGCTTCAGCACAGGCAGCAAAGCTATGCCTACTGACCATGGACTGTATCCTCGGAAACTCTGAACCAAACTGAACCCTTCTTTCTTTCTTTTTATAATTAATTAAGTTTATTGGCACATTTTAGATACACATAATGGTCATATTTATCATAAGGAATTTGTACCTGTACATGACATATCTTAATTTTTCCCCATTCCTCTACCCTCCTTTCAACCCCTCTCCCCTCATTTACAAAACTTTGTT